ACTCAGAGCATGTGTAGGGCGTCTCTCCTGTGTGGATTCGCTGATGTAAGATGAGGACTGAACGACGAATGAAGCGTTCCCCACACTCAGAGCATCCATAAGGTTTCTCACCTGTGTGGATTCTCCGATGTGTGATAAAGTTTGAACGCTGATTGAAGTTCTTTCCGCACTCAGAGCATGTGTAGGGTGTCTCTCCTCTGTGGATCCGCTGATGTGAGATGAGGGCTGAGCTATGCCTAAAGCATTTCCCACACTCAGAGCATCCATAAGGTTTCTCACCCGTGTGGATTCTCTGATGTGTGGTAAGGGCAGAGCTCCGATTGAACCTTTTCCCACATTCAGAGCACGTGTAGGGTGTCTCTCCTGTGTGGATCCTCTGATGTGTGATCAGGGCAGACCTCTGATTGAAGCTTTTCCCACATTCAGAGCATGTGTACGGCGTCTCTCCTGTGTGGATCCTCTGATGTGTGATCAGGGCAGAGCTGTGACTGAAGCTCTTCCCGCACTCAGAACATATGTAGGGAGTCTCTCCTCTGTGGATTCTCTGATGTGAGATGAGAGCTGAGCTATGCCTGAAGCTTTTCTCACACTCAGAGCATCCATATGGTTTCTCACCTGTGTGGATTCTCCTATGTGTGCTCAGAGTAGAGCTCTGATTGAAGCTTTTCCCACACTCAGAACACGTGTAAGGCATCTCTCCTGTGTGGATTCTACGATGTGTGATAAGGTTTGAGCGCCGATTAAAGCTTTTCCCACACTCCGAGCATGTGTGGGGCATCTCTCCTGAGTGGATTCGCTGATGTGAGATGAGGGTTGAACTATCAGTGAAGCTTTTCCCACACTCACAGCATTCATAAGGTTTCTCACCTATATGGACTGTCTGATGTACAGTAAGGTTTGAGCGCTGATTGAAGCATTTCCCACACTCAGAGCATTCATAAGGTTTCTCACCTGTATGGATTCTCCGATGTGTGATAAGGGCAGAGCTCCGATTGAAGCTTTTCCCGCACTCAGAGCACATGTAAGGTTTCTCTCCAGTGTGGGTTCTCCGATGTATGAGAAGGTCTGAGCTCCGATTGAAACTTTTCCTGCACTCATGGCATGTATAGCGTGTCTCTTCCAAGTTGATTCTGTCGTGTGTAATAAGGTCTAAGTGGCTACTGAAGTTTTCCTCTGGCCTCTGCTGAGTCTCACATGCTTTTTCTTTTTCTGGGAGTGCACAACTCCCGGAAACATTCCCTTTGGATCTTCCTGGTAACGTTCCATGTGGTTCTACTTCCTCAGCATCTTCCTGCTGGGGTTTCTCCTCCTCATTCTCACTCACCATCCCATCACCTGATGGGAGACAGAGAGAATCCATACATAGGTCACTCCCTGCACCAGAAAGAAAGAAAATCTCAGAGAGAGGAATGGAAAAAGGGATGAACAAACCAAAATATGTGTGGGAGAGATCAAACCTATCAGGAGCTGATTTTCCCCAAACCCTTCCACAAACGAGAGAGGAAGGGATCAGTTTTGGTCCGCATCTCACCAGAACACTCAGGGGAAAGCGAGATCGGGGAGGGACCTACTGCCAATTGTCAGTCAGAATAGGAGGGATGCCAGGAGTGACATCTGCCATAATGATTCCACATCTGCAGGGAACAATCCTGAACTCGGAGAGCTCACAGGGTCTTTGTAGGGCATCCCTAATGTTTCCTGCATTCCCAAACAGTTGTTGAGTTGGTTTAACCAATTCCTCACCTGTGCAGGCAGCTCTCAGGA